GTTAGGCAGCTAGTTTTCTCTTACTGTTTCACAAATTTGTTATTTGTTTTCTCAAGTAGATTTTATAGCTATTAATGGCAGAGATTTTATATGTTAGAGTCTATTTCATTACAAGCACTTGTAGTACCATTAATAGCACATTAGTGACTGGGAAATAGGAGAATTCTATCAAAATAAGGTGGAACTCCAGTTGGTTCACATTTGAATTTTCTTAGCACTTTAAGTTTTGAAGTGATGAGGAACAAGCTTTCTCATAATTAAACAGAAGTCTCAGCAATTATATGAAGACTTTAAGAAAAAAGGAAGAATCTTGCACAAGACTCCACCCCTTTAGTGTGACTGGATTAGTGGCTTCAACAACCTCTAAGTTTCTCACATTAAAACTATGTTGTGAAGCTGTGACTGATAATGAAGCTGTGAAGACATTTAATCACATATTTAAAAAAAAAATTGGGTACTCTTCAATTAGATTTTTAATTCTGATGAAAATAGCATGTACTAAAAGTGAATGGCCTTGAGGATCCACATCAGGAAGGAGGAAGTGTGAAGGCTACCAAACATTGAGGGTTGTGATGCTGGAGCAAATGCCAGTGGAGATTTAACCTTTTTAGTGTTTTTATTAGAATGGTTATTATTTTTATTAGTGCTCTAATTATAAAGTTGCATTGGATTTAAGTGATATTCCCTAAACCATGTTTCTCCAGGAGGCCTGTTCTTTTTATTGGGCAAATCTACAGAACAGGAGATTCTTCAGGAATACATATATGACATGGTAGCAGAATGTCTGGTACTTTTTTTTTTTCGGCACAACATCTATTTTGGTGTTGGCACACAGTATATGCTTAATAAATACTTGTTGACTCTCAGGATAACTTCATATCACAAATGTTTTGGTTATTTCTTATTTTTGTCTAATCCATGTTTCCTTTCATTTCTCTATTAATGACCCATATTTTTTAGAAGAGAATATTCAGCAAAAGGGAGACACGGAAAGCAAGGGGGATACTATGAGGCTCATCAGAAACCTCTGGGGTAACAAATGACTTTAAGATCAATTTGAAGAAAGACAGAACTTAGCAGCCCTTTATTTATCTTTCTTTTCTCCCAGGGCTCTCTTTTTAATGTTAACTGGGTGCTAACCTCATGAGAAGCCAGAGGGAGAGATAAGAGGTCAGTAGGCCTAACATATACTTTTGATATCCCAACTGACATTAGTAGCCTCCTACTTTTTTTTTAATGTTTATTTATTTTTGATAGAGAGAGAGAGAGACAGAGCATGAGCGGGGGAGGGGCAGAGAGAGGGAGACACAGAATCCAAAGCAGGCTCCAGGCTTTGAGCTGTCAGTACAGAGCCCGACATCGGGCTCGAACTCACAGACCACGAGATCATGACCTGAGCCGAAGTCGGAGGCTCAACCGACTGAGCCACCCAGGTACCCCAGTAGTCTCCTCCTTTTGTCAACATGATAGAAAAGATGTCTCTCCACCAACCAAGCTATCTGTGTGTCCCAAGAAGGTAAAGATAAAGGAATGTAGGTGCAATGAGATCAGCCCTAAGACTACACTTGGTGAAGTGCCTGGTTCATAGTCAGTAAACAAATCCTTGCAGGACAGCAGTGGTATCTTTCATATGTTAGCTTCCAAGAGAAACACAATGACCCTGATGCCAGAAGGAAGGGTGTTTGTTTAATTACTGTTTATATTAACTGAAGCACAAAAAACAAACATCAAGAATTAAGACGTGGCTGAGATAATCACAGTAAAGTCAAATGTAAGCCATATCAGTAATAGACTTTTTCATTTTTTGCAGTAAACATTATGTATCTTTTACACATACCTTTAATTGGATTTCAAATGTTAGCTTCACCTGGCCTGAGGATAGTGAAACTCAACAATATATTCAAAATAATGTCACTCCATTTTCAAGTCTATTTATACACTCCAAATAGAAGCCGTTTGTATTACAACACCTTCTCCCTTTTAAAACCACACCAATGAGACCTACAAGTCCTTTATGATGTGGAAGCTGCTTATCTGTTCTACTTCTCTTTCAACAGAAGCCCCCTCTCCCAAATGCCCCAATTTCTTTTTTGTTTTAATTTTTTTATGTTTGCTTATTTTTGCGCTCTCGCGCACATGCACAAGAGATAGAGAGAGATAGAGAGAGAGAGAGAGAGAGAGAGAGAGAGAGAGAGAGAGAGAAAGTGAGCATGAGCATGGGAGGGCAGAGAAGGAGAGGCAGAATCCAAAGCAGGTTCTAGGCTCTGAGCTGTCAGCACAGAGGCAGACATGGGGCTTGAACCCAGGAGCTGTAGATCATGACCTGAGCCAAAGTCGGATGCTTAACCGACTGAGCCACACAGGTGCCCCTGAACACCCTCAATTTCTTAACCATAGGGTCTCTGCACATGCTATTGTCATCTCCTTTGCCTGAAATGTTCTTCACTCTTTCTTTGCCTTGTCATTGCTCAACACATTTTTTATATGCTTCCCAATACCCTGAAAGCTCTATAAGAGCAAGCCATATCTGTCTTGTTCATTATTGTACCCACAATGGCTAGCACAGTACCTAACACTTACTAGGCTGTCAACAAATACTAACTTTAATTAGACCCGTAAGACTGAGCTCAAACATCAGTCTCTTTGGGAAGGTGTCCCAGATCCCTGACATTCTGGTGATATATCTACCTCATGTACTGCATGGGCTCCCTGTTCATATCTGTTGTACTGAAGTGCAGTTCTTTAACTGTCTCTCTCTCCCAGTAGACTATGAGGTTCTTCAGGTCAGGAAGTGTCTCAACTTCATCCTTCTAACCCATGGCACTCTATATAGCACGTGGTATACTCTAAGGAGATTAATAAATACCTATGGAGCAGATTATTGAGCCACATTTGAGCTTGGAAGATTCTCACCCATATCCATCTCTTAAACAGGAATTGGATGAAAGCATCGGATAAACAGGTCATGTCTTTCTGTAGCACGCATTTTTACTCAATTTTTCAGGAGGGGAAACACTTAAGTTATTTAAACCACATACGTGTCTGTGTGCATGTGTGTATAGTAAGTCGAATTCAAAATATACATCAAATTTTAAGTAAGATAGAAACTTTGACAAAGCAAATTTACCTTAGGGTTCCTTGTCTGCCCTGTCTAGAAGCATGCATTTCCTCTTCTGTGCTGTCTTTGGGTAGTTTACCACCTGCATGATTAAAAAGAAAGTTAATGACAATGACAAAGCCAGGATCAAAGCTGTTTTTAGATATATAATGTTCTTTTCACTCTACTGTCCCAGTTAATTGCCTCATCACATATATAGCATGGTCAAATTTATCCTAATGCACTCTCAATAAATATGCTCATAAACAGATTCAGCAGAGCTGAAGGGGAGGGCAAAATAAGTCATAGCCTGAAGATATCTGAATAATAGGCATTTGGACATGTTAATAGACTTAGTATCCAAATTACATTTCAGGCTTCTCTAGCATATATGCTCTTATTCCGTGATGGTGGTTCATTCAAATCCTGCTCTGCCCCTATAACATTCTCAGTGTGAACAATATTTTTAGAGGACCCTGTTTAAAAAAGTTGGAAGAATATAGCCTGGGCCTCCTCCTGACAACTCAAGCACTAAAGACTAATAATGCTCACAGTACTCTGCTGTTGCTGCTGCAGCACAAAAACACCTAGCATTTGTCTCGAGATTTACATTTTATTTAATTTTTTTAATGTTTTTTATTTTGAGACAGAGAGAGACAGAGCATGAGTGAAGGAGGATAGAGAGAGAGAGAGGGAGACACAGAATCTGAAGCAGGCTCCAGGCTCAGAGCTGTCACCACTGAGCCCAACGCAGGGCTCCAACTCAGGAGCTGTGAGATCATGACCTGAGCCGAAGTCGGACGCTCAACCGATTGAGCCACCCAGGTGCTCCTGGAGATTTATATTTTAAACAAAGCTTTGATACACATGATCTTACTCCGTACCACAGCTCTAAACCTAAATGAGTTCAGGAAACAGAAAATAGCACTCAATCCAATTGTTAGCTCTCTATATAGGTGCTTTTGTTGAAGAGCCTTATTTCCCCCCCACCCTATACCTCCAAGATTAATGAAGTAGTGGACGTCTGCTGCTTCTACTACCTAGCAGCATGGGAATAAAGGAACGACTGTATTTCTTTGGTCACAAAGCAATCACGGCAACACAAAGCACCCACTCTTTCTACTTTGACCCATACAGTCTGTCTAGGCAATTAATCAGCACTCCACGTGGTGGTTTTCCTATAGGATGCCAGCTGTCTGGCCAATCCACCCCTCCCACAGAGCTTAGCAGGACCACACCCTGTCAAGGCCTCTGTGGGAAAGGTGCTCTGACCTACACTAGTGGAAGCTGACACTCAGGTAGAACTGCCAGTGTAACTCATACTTGAAACCTTCCGGGCCTCACTTTCCCCATCTCTAAAATGGGCTATACCTCCTTTCTCTTGACTAGTTCTCTTCCATTTCACGCTAGGCCCCGGGGAAGTGAAATCAGTGCTTAACCGCAGCTTAAAGTCCTCTCCTTTCCTCTGGATCCCATCGCTGCGCTGGGCATGCTCAGTAGCTGGGGCCCGCTCTGCACTGGGAGTAGGAAGCAGCTTTCTGTGCCCCGGCTGCAGACTGCGGGCACTTTGATGAATCACGTGTGTTGAGGCCCTCTTAAAGAGATAGGCACCTACTTTCCCTTCCACCCTAAACACCGCCCTGAGGGCGGCGGCGCCAGCGACCTTGGTAGTTGCAGCTGCTCAGGGGCAGGGCTTGCCCCAGCACAGAGTAGTGGCAAAGGCGTGTTGCGTCGGGGGTGCGTGAGAGCCGGGATCCTGAAATCGGCAGCTCCCCAGGCAGACACACTCTCACACAGGAAGCGGTGATACCGAATCAGCCAGGGCAGCGGGACAACCCCCAGGGGCTTCCCCAAGTTGAGGAGAGTTGGGGTTACAGGGCATAGGTGATAGGGCCGGAGAAAGATGGAGCAGCCCGGGGCGGCGGCGTCGGGAGCGGGAGGCGGCAGCGAAGAACCCGGTGGGGGCCGGAGCAACAAGCGAAGCACAGGGAACCGAGCCGCCAACGAAGAGGAAACGAAAAACAAACCCAAATTGGTGAGTGCTCCCGCAGTCCCCGCCAGCCTTGGGGACAGCAAGAGCCCCAGGAACCTCTGGCTGTTACGCACCGGGGGGCCTGGGGCCCCCTCCCAAGGCTAACCGCGACCTCGCTGTGCTACTCCAAGAGCCACCAAAGGAGCGGCCACGCCACGCCGAGGCGCGGAGACGGCGTGGGGGCGGAAGAGCATCCCCTTTCCCATTTAAGCCCTTTCTCACTCTTCTCATTCCGGGAGGCAGTGCGGGAAGGAGAAAGGCCCCACCCCAACTTGGGGAGACTCCGAGTACTGGGTAGGGTCTGTTATTTGTCTAACTTGTGGGCGCGAATCTTTGCGCGATTCTGTTCCTTCCCACTTCTGTCAGTTGCTGGGTTTTGACTCTTAACGCATAGTGTCCGGGCAGGGGAACCTCTCTTCTTTTTAGTCCAAATACTTGGGAGCCCACCTAGAGACTTGCACACCAATCCCACCCTAAAGAAAAACACACAACGTAGACTCCTAGTCTTTCTACTTTACCAGAAATCTAAGAGTCGCCTACGTGCTCTTTTTCCTGTTGCCTCTTCCATGTGCTCTCCCCAAGAAACATTTCTTTTTAAGAGCGTGGGAGTTCGAGGCTGGGTGAGGTACCAACTGTTGTGCATATAATAAGCAGAGTCATTACAGTACTTCCACCTAGTTGATTAAGAACGCTCAAAAGCAGTAAGCCCACCGCACAAGTTTCATCGTCCTCAAAGTGTGTGAACCAGCGGTAGAAGTCCATTTCCTGCCACTGACTTAATGTGCAGAGGAATGTAATCTATGGGGGCTGGTATTAGGTTGGGAAATACTGGAGTTTCCTCAACTCAGTTAAAAAGGTTCCTCTTTATATACATATATATATATATGAAAATGATTTAATAGGGAAACTTAAAAACTGGTAACATTAACAAAATATACTGGCTAACGTCAATTTTTCCCAATTGTGGCAAGTATTATGCAGACATTTATCAATAAACTTTCTAATTTGGGTGGCATGAGGGGAAATGATTTTCCTGTACAAATTCAGCAAGTATTCCTTCTGTTTGAAGGTCCTTAGTCCAGATTTGAAGTACAAGCACATGTTACACATCTAGTTTTCAGTTTTAACTTGTTTTTAATAGGGGAGGAGACAGTGACATTACTAAACCCTTTTCTTATGGCATCAGATCATTTGGTATGTATGTACCTGTTGCACTTCTCTCTTGCCTCCTATTTTCCTTTCAATTCTGTATTGTTCATATTGGAAAACAATGGTCAGGGTGTTATTTCGGGAAATATGCAGCTTTCCATTATATGGGAAGGGACCTGATGGGGTAGAATAAAATAACCAGTTTAAAGTTTAATCACTTCTACCCTAACTTGAGGCAAATTGAGAACTTGCTTACTTGATATGTCCTGTTAACCCAGTATTTACAAAAGTAGAAATTGCCCTTTGTGAATTGTCTATGCTGGCTGAAGGTTAATGGGTTTAATAGGTGCCCCCTACCATCATGAAACTTAGAAAAGTTTTGTGAGTGTATCACTAAAGTTTAATACACTTAAAAATTCTGATATGATTTTGATATTTATCAGTTTGTTGTAAAAGAGTGATCATGTTTCCTTTTTTCCCCCTGGACCCAGTACAAAACTGTGATTTAAACAGTGATTAAAAGTTTAAGCAAAAATAAAAGTGAACTCCGTGTCCACGAGTAGTTTGGTACATCCAACAAGAACTTTCTACTTGTAGGAAATATGCTTTCAAGAAAGCACTTATCTCTGTTAGTTATAACACCGTGATTATATTCTTCCCTTCCCTTTGGTCATTTGTCCTGTTTCATCTTTTATGTTTTACTTGCTTTGACAAGGTAACTAGATCGTTATGAGATGGTATCACTTTCAGTTCTTAGCTAACACTGTTCGGTGTTGAACATAGCTTGACATAGTAGAACAAGTATATGAATGCAGGAGTTTGTTAATATCAATCAGAACTTGCTCTTTTGCTCAAACATAACTTTTGAGCCTTACATGATTTTACAAGCAGATGTATCAGAGTTAATAAAAACAAATTTAGAAGAACATTTCAGCACATTTTAAAGCAAGCAAGTTGATCAAACAAGACTTGGAATACTTTTTTAAAAAATAAATGCCTTACTCCTTATTTTGAGCTGTCTTATTGAAGTGCTCAACACTTTCTTCTAAGGCCTTTTAGGATGGAGTTCTTCTGGGCTTCTTAAAATATTGCTAGTAAGCTAAAAGCTTTACCTAGACTAAATTTTACTATTTTGAGTATTGTGTTATTAATCACTGTAGTAGTTCTTTTTTTAAATTTTTTTAATGGTTATATTTATTTTTGAGACAGAGAGAGACAGAGCATGAGCAGGGGAGGGGCAGAGAGAGGGAGGGAGACACAGAATCTGAAGCAGGCTCCAGGCTCTGAGCTGTCAGCACAGAGCCAGACACGGGGCTTGAACTCATCAACTAGAAGATATGACCTGAGCTGAAGTCCGATGCTCAACCAACTGAGCCACCCAGGCACCCTTGTAGTAGTTCTTAATTGTATGTGGGTAAAGTAGTTGTGGTGTGATATTATGAAAGAGAGCTATATGTAATAGAAATTCTTCATGTAGATGATTGTGGTGGATAGGGGTTCTTAAACTCCTGAAATTGTATGAAAAATTTGAGTATATGTAGGTACATTCATTTTTCTGGGCCTCATAGTTTTCATCAGTTTCTCAAAGGTACCTGTCACCTATAGAAGAATAAGCACTATTGGGTTACCAAAGAGAGAGGGTAAAGGAAATGCCAGTTGATTCCAATCCAAGTTACTAGGGAGAGGAGGAGGTCAGTGATGAAGGAAGAAGGGGAATAGTGCTGATCACACAACTGATTGATATTGAAGATAATTCATCTGAGAATAAAAAGAAGTTAAAAACATGTCTATATAGTATTAGCTACGATGAAAGTTTTCATTATATAGAAAAAGTAACAATAGTTATAGTATATTGGATTCACTGAAGTATAAGGCTTGTGATTCACTTGTTTTCATTGAGTTCCTTATTGTTCCGGAAAACTGGGGAAGGAAGGTATGTTTTCTATAGAGAGGAGCTACTTTAATTTATATCTCATACTTTTGCTGGGTATTACAATTTTTTCAAAGTGACATTTCAGGACTTTAATGACCTTTGTTTAAGATTAAATAAGAATGTGGGGCACCTGGTTCGCTTAGTGGGTTGGGCCTCTGACTTCAGCTCAGGTCATGATCTCACAGTTCTTGAGTTGGAGCCACTGCACCCCCACCCCACGCTCTGTGCTGACAGCTCAGTGCCTGGAGCCTGCTTCAGATTCTGTGTCTCCCTCTCTCTCTCTCTCTCTGCCCCTCCCCCGCTCACTCTCTTTCTCTCAAAAATGAATAAACATAAAAAAAATAAAAAAGATTAATAAAAAATGTAACAGAACTTCAGTTTTCTCTATCTTTAAATCCTCACAGTGACCCTTTTATCTTGATTCTTTTTACTGGAGGCAATCTTCTTTTGAATTTCTCACATTTTGAATAATGCATTAGTACTATTAGTACTAGAGCTTTGTATTTTATGTAACTGTTTGGTTAGGCCCAGATTGTAGCATGTCATCAAGCAGCATGAATCTTAGATTAATTAGTAATTTGGTGTCAATCATGGAATGTATTTTGTCAAATCTACTAGAGCTCCAGAAGTATTATGAAGGAGCTGCATCTTGAATCCCACATATGTAAGGCAATGACTTGACCATTAAAAGAGGCTATTGTTAAAGTAGAACTAACATCCCTCACACACATTCCACGGTGTAGAGTGGCTTAACATTATTAGATGTTTTTGCATTTTGACTTTGTGTGAATGTGGTTTTTTTGTTTTTTGTTTTTTTAGAGGGACAGAGGGAAACAGAGTCTTAAGCAGCCTCCACACTCAGTATAGAACCTGACACAGGGCTCGATCCCATGACCCTGAGCTGAAGTTAAGAGTCTGATGTTCAATTTACTGAGCCACCCAGGTGCCCCAGACTTTGTGTTTCTGTATTATTCCTGAAGCCTTTGGTTCTTTCGGCAGTGGAGTCAAATTAGGGACTTGATAGAAGTTAATTTTCTGGCTATTATATAACTTTCTGAATATTTGGTTGTTTTTTAATTAGATAAATCATGGTTTGATTTTAATTGATAAAGTTGAGCACAACAGGTTCATTTATGCAACATTTACTGAGCACCTATTCCATCCTAGGCATTATTCTGATGGTTGGTGATACAGAAATGCTCATAGTCTAGTGAGAGAGACAGGGAAGTTAATGATTAAAGAGTTGTGTGTAAGGAATCCTAGGAATATGCATAGGAGGGTGATATAAAAATGTGGAGAGGTATCTCAATCTAATTGGATGATTGTTACAAGGAAAGACTTACTAGAGTAGGTGACATTTGCACCAAGGCTTGAAGAATAAGGCATTAATTGAAGAAGGGGAGGGAAGGGCAATTTTAGGTTGAAAACAACATATACAAAGTAGAGAGATATGGTAATACGCCTAATAAAGGAACTGTGGGTAGATGTTAATGGCTGAAACAAAGGGTACATATGGTAGACCTGGTAGAAAAGAGAGAGTCCAGATCATGATGGATATTTGTATGTTGTCTTAGAGTTTCAGATTCTTTCTGCAAGCCATAGCAGGCCATTTAAGAGATTTAAGCAGGAGACTGGCCTAATAAGAATTGTGTTTTAAAAAGAAACTTAAGGGGTGCCTGGTTGGCTCAGTCAGTTAAGCATCCAACTTTGGCTCACGTCATGATCTCAAGGCTCCTGGGTTCGAGCCCCATGTTGGGCTCTGTGCTGACAGCTCAGAGCCTGGAGTCCGATTTGGATTCGGTCTCTCTCTGCCCCTCCCCTGCTCATCCTCTGTGTGTGT